AGTAAAAATGAAAAAGAAAGAAAACAATTGGAAATATACAACTGAATAGGCTCAAAGTTACAGTAATAACCAAGAATACTAGGTCAGAGATATATTAAATAAAACTAGGCATGAGGCACTCACTTTTCAACGAGGCGCTCTAGGAATAAGCGGTAGGTAAGCTGAGGAGCAGCCCCTGCAAAAATGCCTCCAACAAAGTGTACAATCAGCCTTGGCTTTGTATTTATTGGTCCCAATACCCATGCTCCCTGAAATTCTTGCAAAGTATTTGACATCACATCACAATTCCCTCAAAAGAAAAAATGGCAGAATTTTATTTATTTATTTTCTTCATTTAGCTTCTAATGTAGAAAGTGGTTGCACTTGTCATTCTCTAAGTTAACTGCAATATTTGCCACAACTTTCTTAAAAGATAAGATCCTTAAGAATAATGGGCACAATTTTAGCTCCAAATTATCTCTAGATATATTTTGTTCTCATTAAGAATAATATTAAACAGACTATGCATGTTCAAAAGGATTTAGTGTCGTCAAAATATCATTATCCTTCAGCTATATCAATGAGAATCAAATGGAAGTTTTGCAAAGGTCATAATGTAAAATTGACTCTATTACCCTGAGGAATTGAGGCTAACGAAAAAAAAAGTGAAAGTAGCTGGAGAAAACCTTCACTTTCAGATGCAATTCCAAAGTATGTCAGACAATTCAAAATATCAAACTAGAAGACTATCATTTTAAGTTAAACACCTCAACTTCCTTCCAGTCTTTTGAGGTTCCCCAAGCATCTTGAGATTGTTTCACCGTATCTGTAAGTAATCTGTATATAAAGCAGAAGCATGCTTTACTATTGTGTTTAAAATCAGGAGAGAAGTCCGTAGTATGAAACGATAAAGCGAAAACAAAGAGGTTAAGGAAACTGTGCAGTGGATGGTATATGGCTTATCTATCAGCTAACAGGATCGGAAGACTCTGCTTTTCTTCCAAAAACAAACAACAGGATGCTAGTAGTAGTATATTTCAATTGAACAACTTGCTCTAATTTCCGTAAATCGAAAACGAAATCGTGAGAGCCGACCTTTCAATATCTCGGTAAAGCTGAATTCCGCTTCTTTCGGGTTGATTGCTTGTACTGTTATCATTGAAGCTGCCAACTTTGATTCTTTTGCACCGCCCAGAATTACTATTTCTGATAAACAACTGAGACATACTGAAACGGATCCGTTTGTGGAATAACGGAGCGGAGTCGCTGTAGGGGGGATGAAAATGAATATGCGGCGCCGGCGCGCATAGCCAACTGCTCATACCTGCGTCCTATCTATCACCCAGCCAAGGCAGCGAAATCACTTCACGTATTCACAAAAACTCGCCCACTGCTCACACAATTCAGCACTCTTGTTCCCAGACTCCGTCTGCCGGAGAAAAGTCTTTGATTTATTATACGGAGGGGTTAAAAGACCGAAATGGGAAAGTATTACGTGCGTTTGGTTGGAAGGAAAGAATTATGAGGGAAATGAGTTGTAATTTGGTGGGAAAAGAATAAGGTGTGAATAAAGTAGGAATTTAAATTACGGTGTTTGATAGGAGAAATATAATTATTCCGCCCAGGCCCGGAGAGTGTCCACATTTTTCTTTGTTCCGATCTCCAGTTTCTGAGGGTTTTCTTTTCACACCGCGTTCCCGAAGGCACCCCTCTCTTTCAAGAGGATTCGGCCCACCCTTTCTTTGAACCTTGTCAATGATCGAACTTAAAGATATGAACTGAGTGCCATTTGATGAGTAACTGAGAACAAAGGAGTTGAAGAAGGTCCCAAGGGTTCGGTTGTTCGCCGATTGGATTGAGAATAAAAGAAGTGGTATAAAGACTAAAATACTCTTATGTAAAAATAATAGTAATAATAATCAAGGGTAGTAGTGTCATTTCATATCTTTTTCCTTTCTCAAATCCATTGAATTGCAATTCATGGGTGTACCCCATGAATTGCAATTCAACATTTGGAGGGAATTACAATTCGGTGGAATTGCAATTCCCTCTAACTAAACGGCGTAATTGGGGTTTTCACAGAATTGCAATTCAATTACACCTAAATTACTTCCAACCAAACAAGCACTTAGTGTATTACAAATTGTGACAAAAATAGAAACTTTTAAAAAGTAATAATAGAAGGAAAAACTCATGTCCTGATGTCTCAAATTAGTTTCTATAAACTTAAAAAAAAAAAAAAAATTAGACACAAATGATACCTGCGTATGAGGTATTATATCTGAGACGCAAGTTCCACTTGCTTCTCACATCATATACGCACTACACAACAACGTAAGTGGTAACTGCGTTTCTTGTATTATACGAGAAACATAGTTTTAACTTTTTTTTTTATTACCTTTTTTTTTTTTTTGAAAAAAGGTTCATCTTATTTATAAACAAAACGGGAACCGAACAGAGTCTTGCCAAGGCCCAAAAGTGACCAAGGCACAAGAAAAGAAAGGACAAGGCCCAAAAGTGACCAAGTCAACAAATAAAACAAGAAGGACAAGGCCCAAAAGTAGTCAAGTCTACAAATAAAGCAAGAAGGCCTAAAGGCAAACAAGTAAAGGAGAAACTCTAAACTACAAAGTGGGCACAACACCCATACTGCAAACAATCTGGTACTGAGTGAAAGCCCAACACCCATAGTTTTAACTTGCGTCCTTTTTTTTGGTGGTTAATACAGTCGGTCTATCTCTCGTGAGATGCAAGTCCAACTTGAGTCTTATTTGGTCGGGCAGTAGAACACAAGTCTAACTTGCGTTCTACTATTCGAAATGACACCACATCTGCCACCAAGGTGTGGTAAGTTATATGTGTAGTGGTAAGTTATATTTGTAGTGGTAAGAAAATAAAAATGGAAACTTCACGAACGCCGAAGTGGATGCATGTCCTATTTGTCATGAGAAATAATATCCAAAAGGTAGTTTTTCAATGTGGTCATGTCATTTGTTGTATTACATGCATCTTGTTTTCGATTAATAAGCAACTGAAAGGAAGTTGCATGTAAGGACGCCGATAATGCCATCTTCCAGAGAGATCTCTATGGTGGGTTGCTCCAAAATGTAAATACCTCGTGGTTGAACTGACACTTTAGCAAGCCAGTCTACCACCTTGTTCTGTTCACGGGCAATATGGATCACTTGCCATACACCAATACTCCTAAATTTCCGTTTGCATGCAAAGAGAATATTATCTATTAGGATATTGGTGCTCTTGTTGAGGTTGATACCATCCGCGATGACACTTGCATCGCTTTCAAAGATGACCTGCCAGCAACCCAATGATTGTGCAAATAAAGTTCCTCATGCTTCAGCTCCATTGGCAATGCATGTGCCAATGTTATGGATAAAACCACCTAGCCATTTGCTCGTGTCATCTCTAGCAAAGCCTCCGCACCCAGCTCTGTTATTATAATCAAAGAAACTTCCATCAATATTGATTATAACCCAGCCAACAGGGGGCCTTAATCCATTTAATCTGCTCCCATGAAATGACTACCGAAGTTCTGATCGGATCAAGAGCTCTTGAGAAAGCATCGTTTATTCCTCTGACTCGGTCTTTTTTTTTTTTTTTGAAAACCAACCAATGAATGATTGTATTAATGAATCAAAGCTGCAATGCAGTCAGGGGGATATAATCTCAATACATAGCTTGATCTTGAATAAAAGCTAACGAAGCTAACGTATGCGCATGCGCATTAATCTGCCTAGAAATATGATTTAACAAGACATAATTAAAAGATGAAATTAAATTCCTACATTAGTCTACTATTACTCCAACATAGGACATTATGATAGTTGATTTCTGTCGTATAGCATTCCTGAGCTGTAAACAGTCTGTTTGAAGGGATACTGTTGTTATATTCTTCTCCAATAGCCAGGATAGAGCTTCCTTACATGCCAAAGTCTCTGTCATAAACGGCGACAAGCAATTCGGTAGTTTTTGCCGCTAAGAAAGATCCTTCTGGAGACAGCAACACAATACCGTATGCAGCCTCCCCCGTGTCTTCCCGGTATCCCGCATTCACATAGCATCGTGAGATAGTGTCGCCGTTGTTGTCCGCCGTAACTGCCGTGGGAGCTGACGAGCCGCGGCGTGCTACTTGCTGGTAGGAGTGTAGTGCCGCCGTGGCCTGCCTTCAAGCCGCCGTAGGGTGCGGCAATGTGCCGTCCCATACGGCTGAATTTCTGCACCTCCATAAGCGATAAAGCAATGCTACTACGGCTGCACTTTGATCCTCTGTGAACATTGTAAGCACAATCGTTAGCCACTCAAGGAATGAGTTGACAACAATATTTGTTATTGGCAATCCTGAAATATTCCAAACATGTTTAGAATAATCACAATTGATGAATGTATGCATAACATTCTCATGTGCCAACCCACACATTTGGCATGTGAGATCCACTTCCACCCTCTTTATAATCAAGTTGTTAGTTGTGAGAAGAACATCACAAATTGCTTTTCATAAAAAAGTCTTCCATTTTGGGGGTATCTTCATTCCCCACATTTTAGTCCATTTCTCAAAATCATTCCCCACATTTTAGTTCATTTCTCAAAATCCCCGGGTGAGTGATCATAAATACCCATAATGTTTCTGTAGGCATTCTTAACCGTATATACCCCATTGGGGTCATCGGGCCAATACCATGAGTCCTCATACTCCGGACTAACAGGTATCAGTATCCTACTCACATCCTCCTCATCGGTCCCAGGTAGCAGTTTGTTCATCTATTAAACCCACCACTTTAGCATGCCTAAGCTCTACAGGCATATCAGTATGTACCAGAGGGCTAGGATTATCAGGTAACCATGGGTGTCCCCAGATTAGTGTCGTTTTACCATCCCTGACTCGGTCCTTATTCAATCAGATTTTGAATAACAGGTCCTTGTCTCTGATGGAGAAAATTAAATCATTCCTCCATTTTGTTTTGTATGAGACTCATTTGACATTTAATACCAAATTTAAAAATAAATAAATAAAATACACATTCATTTTCAAAAAAGCGTCCACCTCCTTGAATGAAGGAGGTTTAAATAGTAATGTTCACAATTCAAACAACATATGAATGCAAAAATAAACATGGCAAACAGAAATTTTAAGCAATAAAAATAAAAATCCAAGGTGTTCATCTTCAACAAACAAGAAGTGCCCCTCCGTGAATATAATTAAAATTCTCAGTGTCACATGCAACAAGGAAGATAATGCAACCTAACACCCAACCAAAAGAACAAGCCCATGATCAGCTAAGCAATACAGGAACTTGAGCTTCTATTGACTTCAGCACTTCTTCACCCATTTCCTTGCACCCGACTAATTTCTGGAAGAAACATGTCAACCTCAATCATCAATCAATGTTACAGGGAAATATAGGTAACTAAGGTCAATGAAGTCATGCTTACCCCTTGGAAGTTTTTTAAAAGAACATTTGTCAAATTTATACACATGGGGAATAAAGAATCTTTAAAAGAACAAAAGGTGTATACATACATGCCCAGCAGAATATATGTCACTAGTGCGAAATCCTTGATTTAAAGTGTCCAAAACAGCTGCCTCAATCCTCTGAGCAGCCTTCTCCTCTCCTAGGCCATATTTGAGAAGCATAGCAGCACTAAGCACTGTTGCTAAAGGATTTGCTTTATCCTACATGTTGAAACCATGTTAGCCAAGAAAGATGAGGAGGCAACTACTCTTCATTGTAATGTGAAAGAGTCTGTATTACTTATCATGCACCCAACCAACCTGTCCAGCGATATCAGGAGCAGAACCATGTATTGGCTCAAAGAGTCCAGGTCCCTACAGCCAACAATTCCAAGAAGAGATGTCAAGTACATAAAGAAATTCAATAGAAAACCCAGACATTACATTTAAAGAGAAATGCAGATGAGGTGATTATACCGATTCTCCAACACTGGCAGATGGAAGCATACCAATACTTCCAGTAATCATTGAAGCTTCATCAGATAGAATATCACCAAATATATTGTTTGTTACAATCGTATCAAACTGCAATAGTGTAATTACAATTGTAACTCTTTTTTCATAATCTATCTCAAAGAAAATGACAATCAATATTTATATTAAAATTTGTAAAGGTTTGTGATAAAAATAAATAAATAAAATAATAATAATAAACCTGTTTTGGATTGCGAACAAGCTGCATGGCAGCGTTGTCCACATACATATGTGAAAGTTCAACATCAGGGTACTCTTTGGACAACTCTGACACAATCCTTCTCCAATGCATAGAGGCCTGGCAAATATCAAGAGTGAGGAGCCCATCCATTTTCACATTTTGTCCTCAATTCATTTCTAGTGAAATATATTGTAAAGATACAAGTGCACAGTGCCATTGGAGCAGCTCTTGCAATATATCAGTGTAGTTTTATATCATCATATTACATTTATAACATGATTATGTATGTTACAATTACAAGCAAACAACTAACACATTTACAAAGTATGGTTTGGTTATAAAAGAAAAGAAATACGTAGTAGAAAGAGAGTGGCATCAAATCTCCACCTATCCAAAAGAGAAATGGTTAGCACCAGTGACTTCCACCCTTTGCTAGACATGAATGATAAACTCTAACAAAGTGGACAAGAAAAGAGCAGAAAGGAAACAACAAATGGCACATCAGTGGAGTCTATCTTCATGCTTGTATTATATGATCTATAATATGAAATTATGAATTTTTCAATGTACATTGACATTTGTGACAATGCACAACTGTCCTTGATGGTACATAATCCTTTTGAACTCTTATTTGCTTAAAGCGAAATATTGCATAAAACATACCAGAGTATGCATGTAAGCATGGTCTATGTGCAGGGGGTAACAAAAGAGGGGTATACAAAAAAATAAAAACTACGGAGCACTTCGTTATCAATTATCATAATATACCTCCAACACATTTGCTTTATCAACAGAACAGAGTTTTCCTCGACGTTTTCGTGCAGTTTCAAATGCTACACGAGCAATACGTTCTACCTGGCAAGAGAATCTCACATCAGATTCCAAAGATTGCAAATAATAATTTATTTATTTATTTTTTTAAAAAAAGTCCAATAGGAAATATGGTGCCAAAAGTAAGTAAATATCCAAATTGTGAAGTGCAAAAAGAGTGTTGTTTTAATCAAATTCTCCAAAAAGTATTACACTGGTAAAGACAATGAAAACTCCTCTTCCAAACATCTACTTGCAAGTTGCAACAAATGGTAGCTTATTTAAGAGGACTAAACCTATGACTCTAATGAAAGAACGAGTCCTAACTGTTTTTTTTTTTGGACTGGGAGGGGAGGCAACATGATTTTTTTTTTATAGATCAGAAAGTTTACCTCGTAAGTTGCATAAACCTCAGTATTGAAACCAATTTCCTCACCATTTTCATTTGTACCAAAACCCCTTGGTTTGCCAAAATAAATACCTGTCACCAGATTATAATAATCAGGTCAAGTGGGCAACAAATGTTTTCAACAAATATATGTACATAAGATATTAGAACTGTCTTTCTCAAAAAACAAAAAAAAAAAAACAAAAAGAAAAAAGATATTAGAACTGTCAGGACGAAATTCAAATTATGATTGTTAAGACCACCTAAACTAACCTCCTGTAAGTTCCCTGACAACCATTAGGTCTACACCTTCTGCAACTTCTCTCTTCAATGTTGAAGCATCTACCAACTGAATTACATGGGTGCAAGATTCAGATTCAGATTATATAAGCTACAACCTCAATTATGGAGGAAATATGACATTTATCACACTATTCACATATAAAAAATTCAAAAATAAATAAATAAATGAGGGGATATATTACCATTTTACTTTGGGTAACTTCAACTTTACTCCCAGAAACTATACTATAAGGAATACTTAACCCCCTTAAACTTTTAATAAAGACACTTAATCCCTTTGACTGGTGATTCAAATTATTAAGGTGGATAAAAATACCAAAGTGAAATACATATTAAATATCTTGTAGGCTCTTTTTTTTTTCCTGGCAAAAGCTCCATGCTCCATATTATATACTTCTTCTAAATGTCACATATTCTTACTATTAAAGTTTCAAAAAATTATCTGTATAAAAATATAAAGAACTACTTAAATCACAAAATAAAACTTTAAATTCATTTTTATAATTTTTGAATTAAGGAGTTTTAAAAAAATATCCGTCTAAAAAAATCATGATAATTGAATTGTTAAGTTCAATACAATTCTTGAATGTATAATATTTATATATAAGGGGTTTTTTAAAGTACTTTTATATAGCCAAAAAATTCAAATCACCACTGACCATCATCAAGGGGTTTAAATGTTTTTCTTTGCCTAGAGGTAATAGAATTAAAAGGTAAATTGATCATATGTGAATCATATTAATTCAATGGGAACTAAAGAAGTCATCAATATGCTAAGCGGACTTAGAAATCATATCTCTAAGAACCCTAAATTAAAAACTTTATTAGGACAATAAAAAAGAAAGTGTTCAAAATAACCACCAAAGAGGCATATCCTACAGGTTTTTTTATTATCTCTCATCAAAGGGATAAAAAGGCAGATAACAATCACAGTACAATGCAATAGAATAAGAGACTATCCTCAACGACTCAATATTTTAAGTCTGAACTAAATTACCTGTGGCAGGACTGACGCAGGTCTCAAGTTTGCAAAGACCTTAAGACCCTCTCGAAGCTGAAGCAATCCGGTCTCAGGCTTCAAATGCTTTTTATTGTTGTCCCATTTATACCTTTATATTAAAAGAGCATGCTAGCATTCAGTGAATAAAAAAGGATAAATCATGTACAGATTTAATAGCATACAACTAAAAATAAGTGTAAAATGCTCACCCTCCAATTGCTCCAAGAAGAACAGCATCAGATTGCTTTGCGGCTGAAAGAGTCTCCTCAGGCAAAGGCACTCCAGTCAAATCAATAGCAACCCCACCCATAGGCATCTCATTGAACCCAAACTCAATTCCTGCAACATTTCCAAATCAATATAACCATTAATTGTAATGCTACAATTGCAACCCACCCCTCCAAAATTTTCCCTTCCTATCTACTCTCATGACATAGCACTTTTTCATGGGATGGTTTAGTCATTGATAACAAGTTAGTGGGTCAACCAATTCATGACACCTAATGGATAAGCCATGTCAGGAGGAATTTTAGGAGGGGGAAATTTGGAGGGGAACAAATCATTTTCCAACCATTAATCCTCATCCCCTATGACCTTTAAAAAAAAAAAAAAAAAAAAAAAAAGGCAAAAGACCCATTTTTTTGTTAGTCAGAAAAAATGGATAAATTTTAATATTTGTAATGACAAAGTGGGTTTAACTTTTGAGTATTTATTTATTATTGTCAAGATTTATATGTTTTTTAAAGTGCATGTATGCAATATGAATTTGAACCTAACGTTAACTGCACAAGAACGAAGGTGAAAATGTGAAATACTTAATCTAGTGGCTGCACCGGGAACTATCATTTGCAATTTATGTTGGGAAATTGGGATTTCTTAGGTTTTTTTTTTTTTTTTTCTTTTCCAAAAAGGTTTTGTGTACCTTCGAGAGAGCCAGTGAGTTGTAGAGCATTCTTAGCGACAGAGATGACTTCAGGGCCGATACCATCACCGGGGAGGAGAGTGATGGAGTAGCGTTTGCTGGGTGCAGCGACAGAGCAGCGGATCGTAGCCAATCTAAAAGAAGGGTGTATGTGGGGGGGCTTATAATGGAACTGGTGTGACTTGATAGGTATTCTCACACCGGTATGTAAAGAAGCCGCCATCATTGAGAATCTGAGCAATTTCATAAAGTAAGATTTCCAAAGCATTGTAATAAAAGGGTATACACTGTAAGTACAAGTGAATGGAATTATTACCCGTGAAGCAAGCCTGCGCCAAACTATCAAGCTTCTCTCTCTCCTCGTGCTAAAACAATGTCAATTGTCTTGTGCTGTGTCAAGGCAACAGGAGTCATTAACCATCAGCAATAGGTTCAGGAAGACAACAGTAGATGAGAAATTGAGTACAACACCTGGTATGCAAATGACAAGAAAGTTGAATGCGCTTGTGCACAATCTATATACATAGGGGTGGGTTCAAATGAGAACAACCCCCTCCGGTAAAAAGTGAAGACTGATCTCAGCCACTCATCAAGTCCATCAATGCCTCAATGGTTTGAGGGTCTTTCAAGTTTGCAATATTTATAAAACTAATCCTATCCTTTTTTGTCTTTTTTTTAGCAACCCTCAACCATTGATCTACCCAAATGGATAGATCAAATCAATCCTCACTTTTTACCTGAGAGTTTGTTCTCACCAAAACCCTCCCCTATATAAACAAAAGAAATCGGCCAAAAATAGAAGTGAATTTTCCCACTCCAGTATGAAACTTCAAGAGTTCAGATCAAACCACTTGGGCATCAGCAGCACTGCTATTACAATTAATATCCATTAATACATGTTTGATAATACAAATGCCTACAATCTCCAACACAAACTTCATTGGAGATGAATTTAAAATTAAAAAATCCATTAATGCTTGGAATTACAAATGACTAATCCAATCTCCAAAACAAACATTAAATTTATTGGGGAAGAATTTGAAATTCAACTTTCAAAATCAGCATTTACATTAAATTCTCTAAACCTACTGCAGCACTATAAATAAGCACTCATATCAGGAAATAACCCTGTTACAAAACATAAACACAGCATAAATCAACTGCACATCTTCAATATCAGCAAGGGTACGTGTTGCTCAATCTTCGTATGCAAAGATTTTTCATCTGCTTTGCAACCAAACAGAGAACTGAGAACCACCGTGATTTTCCCTTCCGTTTGAGTCCCAAAAGGTATATTTCTTCATCCTTAAATCCCAACAGCTTTATGAAGATTTATTTTGTTTGAATTTTTATGGTGTTTTTGAAGACTGATCTTTGATGGGACTGTGCTGATTTTTTATCCAGGTCCTATTCATTACAAAGCAAAGGTCAATCTTGATATGTCCATGTTTAGTTTTTCTTTTAATAAAATTAGGTTTGGGAAGGGCAGATATGTAATTTCCACTACCTGCATATCGGTCTAAAACAACAGGTCGGCAATCATAACCAAGAAATTAACAACATGAAGATTATCATGAAATAGGAATTTTAATATCTGATGCAGGCAATGGAGCAGGGCAAATAGGAACAAAAAACAATGTAAAGGATCTAACAAAGTCAGGAACTAGAACATAGTAAAAGGTTTTAAAAAAAAAAAAAAAAATACTTACCAAGCATTTAGACATTTCAACATCTTTCATAATCTTGGATTGGTTATTTAACACTTTTGAATAATTATATAGATACAATAAAGAAATTCAGAATCAACATGGGTTAAAAAATCTCTTTAATTTCAGAATACACGTGTTGAATACCTATTTTTAGTATTTAAAGTATTTATACACTCACTATCACTGCGTATATATTTAATGAAGTACAAAGTTTGTGATCTGTAAAATGCCCAAAATGAGGGCTTTGCTATGTCAGATTGTGTAACTAATGTGTTCTACATGTTGGACTATTCAATTTCATTTTCAGCCCAAAAAAAAGGAGATTAACTAAGGAAATCACAGGTGAAAACAGCTTAATAATGACTAACTGGATGAAAGTAGTATTGTTAGCAAAGACACTTGTGATTATCTCCTCAGCACAAGTTTTTTATCATATCCAAAAGATTTTAACATACATGCCAAAACCACCTGAAAACAATAATACTTAATGGGATCAAGATCAGCATAGATTTGGATAGACAAATCATTCTTAGCATGCCCTGACAAATAGGAGTTACCTCAGTTACACAAAAAGTATAAATTAATCACATATATTTAGGTCAAGAAGGCTAGAACAGAACTTGCCAAACTTGTTACCTTGCTTACAGCCTAAAAGGAAAGTTTAACTTGAAAAAGAAAGTAAGCTATATCTGGAATTCAGATACAATGTGTGCTCTAAAGGCAAATTGATTATGATGAAGTTAACCGCATGCATTGTTACAAAGCATAATTGTTGTAAATTTAGCTAAGCAAAGCCATAAATTGGGCAATAGCAAATGTTGTAGTCTAAAGACAACATGATGTAAGATTAAAGAGAACTAACAACTTTAGCAAAATCTGACTGCATTAGCAGTTTCTTCTCAAGCTCAAATCAATACTTGAAAAAAATAAATAAATAAATAAACTTCATGAGGGAACAAAAATATATATATAATTTTGAAGTGCACATGTTTTTCTTAAAATCAAAATAAATAGAAATGAACTTAACTATGGGCAAAACAGACTACATCAACTGCTTCTTTACAGCTTTACTCACTATTTGACCAAAAAAAAAAAAAAAAAAAAAAAAAAAAAAAAAAAAAAAAAAACAACAACAACAACTTTAGGAAACATAAGGTTACATGATCTCAAAGCAAACTCAAAATTATATAAATCAAATTAAATTCTTAAGATTTTAAAACACAATGCTGCCCAGCATAACACAGACAAATGCTGCTCTTCTGGTCAACCCCAAAGAATGCCTTAGCAAACACAGCTGTGACAAATAGATTGATGATGAATGAAACCGCGAGGGCAACTGCAGACTCTATTGAGTAGTAGAAGCAGATTGGTGTGGAGGCCTAAGCCATTGTCAAAACTCTAAAGGACACAGAAAGTGGATATGCAGATACGTAAAATCAATCACATACATGATTATAACTCCCATAGAATAACAATACATGGTTCATACAAACTCTATAGTACTGTATGTGGAAAGAAAATGAAATGGAAAATTTTAAGTTTCTCTTGTTTGGATGAGTGAAAATGTAAGAAAAACATTATGAGAAAGAATTCCATATCCTATCAAAATATTCATTCCTTTCTCAACACACTCCGCATGGAAATTCTGCCCTCTCAATACAAAATGAGGGAAATGATGATTAGGCAATTGCTTGTTACAGCAAAACAAAAAACAAAAAAAAAAACACAAGCGTAATATATCCCTTATAAAACAAGAAACAATGTTGAGTAAAAGTGAAATTATGGAGCATGAACATAATCAAAAGAATGTCAGGACTCATCAGATAATCAGTATTATGAGATTAAACAATAACAACTACAACCTCAGCCAATTTCAATTCCAATCATCTACGAGTAAATCAGTAAATTCAGGAACCCCATAAGCACCCAAAAGTTGCTTAAAAAAAAAAAAAGTTCTACTCACCTGAGTTGCTTAGAGGACCATCAGGTGCATTGATGAATTCGACCATCAGCTGTGGCGATGTACCGGCGGTATCAACGGTCGGCGATCGTTCTGTCTACGATCGTCGCGGTGGGGTTGCTTGTTCGGCGGTGGTGGCAATACAGAGCAGGCGACCAGCTGAGCAGCGAGAAGGGATGGGCAGAGCACTAGAGCAGGGAGAGGCTAAGAGCTGCGCTAGGTATCTAGGTAGGGTTCTTCTGGTTAATTGCAATTAGGCGCTTCAACTTTAAAAATGTGCAATTAAACCTTTAAACTTATTATTTTAGTGCATTCAAACTCAATTATCAGTAGTTTACCTGAAATAGCCCGTTATCAAGATTCAGGCGACAATTCTGATAAAAATTCCGATTATTCTTTAAATTAAAAAAAAAAAAATCAGCGACGATCGTCAAATTCCAACCATTTAGTCATCTTTCACTGAAGAAGACGCCAGATCCGGTCGTCTTCTTCATTGAATTTGGATGCACTAAAATGATAAGTTTAAGAGTTTAATTGCACCTCTTTGAAGTTCAAGGGCCTATTTGACCTTTTTCTTATTCTAAAATAAAAACAACGCTAAAGTGTCATCCCGCACCATGAACTATATCGGATTATTCATGCCGCACCCTGAACTTTCATAACGTACTTTTTGATCCATCTACCATTATTTTTTTTTCACCTAACACTTTTTACAGTTTTTCCAGTTATGAAAGTGACATGGCACCGGTAATTGTTGATGTGGACATTCTTTTTAAGTCAATCCTCCCAAATTTAAATATAATAACTAAAATATTTTTGAGTCTTCGTTCGCTGCCTACTCCGACTTGGCCAAAAAGGACGGGAGTTCTTCCTACCGTTGCCAGAGCGGTTGTTGCGACTGGAGTTCCTCTACTGTTAACCCCCCATCGTCTCTCCTCAACAAATCTGCATTCGGCGACGACGAGGATGGTCTCCACCTCCCCTGCGACAGCCGACAATGAGGACCACGTACACTCATATACAAGAGGTTTCAATTCAACTATGACTTAATGATGCTTTTGGTTCCGATGATTCCAGAGACAATGATGCTCATGGTAATAAAGCGAGACAGAAGGGTAGGGTGGAACTTGGTGATGAGTTAACGCAGGCAATGTTATATTAGGTGAAGTGCCTGGAGTTGAAGTTGGTGATGAGTTCCAGTATAGGGTGGAACTTGCTCGTTGGTATTCATCAACTATATCAAGCAGGCCAGGTATAGATTCAATGAAGCATGCTGAGACTGGAATGACAATTGCAGTTAGTATTGTTGCTTCCAGAGCTTATGTCGATGATGAAATGGATGATCCTGATGTCTTGAGCGAGATCGGAATTGGGAGCTGGCTAAGCATGGCATTGGTGAATATTGTGCAGGGGGCCACCGGTGACGATGAAGGAGGGTGGCTTTGAGATAACCTTAATCACAGCAAACTTGATTACTTTTACTGGATTTTGGGTGAGATAAACGCCTTGAATTATGTCGTGTATTCATTTGTTGCGTTGTATTCCAATATTGGAAAACAAGCTTGTTTTTGTATATAATTAAAAGATAATCCAAAATTGAAAAAACAAAATTAATCAACTAAAGAATTAATTCAATCACATCATGGCAACTCAATTATCATATGATTACGATGGATCATATTTCGCCATGGTTGTTCGCTCGAGTGTTGCTATGCATAATTTTCTTACTATCTTCCATAATTGGAATACAATGTAAAAATGCAAAGGCGTAATGTCCATAGTCTATTCCATTATTGGCAAACAATATAACCTTGTTTGGTATATAATTAAAAGGTACTCTAGATAGAGTACGTTTGTATGGAGGTTGAGCTTGGGAAATGTCTCGGCTTTGGAGTTTAAGAGTGAGAATAATTTGGGTTTTGAGTGAGAACAATTTGGCCTGCTTGAGCTTACTGGGAAAGTCATGGTGGTAGCAATCATAAGCATTTTCTTCGTTGTCGCCTTGGTGTTCTTGATCCATTTTTACACCAGATGGTTGGGTCGCCATGCGCCAAACAGCAAAATTGCCGCCGCTTCGACTTCCCAAAAGGTTATCAAGAAGAGACTAACACCGCCGCCGCCCTCAGCCGCGGGCTCGACCCGTCAGTGCTGAAAACAATCTCAGTGGTTAAATTCAATCCTAAAGAGTTCAAAGATGGTGGAATGCGCGCTAATCCTGATTACTGGGGTGCGGAGATAGCAAGGCGCGAAGGGGAGAGGATCAACGACGGTATTCCTGATTACTGCGCTTCCTCCTCTGCGCCGGGAAGAAGGACAAAGCCACCGTGTGCGTTGTTTCGTAACTTGACCGGAGCAGACAAGGTGTTAAAAGAGAAAATAAAATTAAAAAAAAATCCATGTCAGCATTTATTACCTATAACCTGTGAAATTTGCTAGATGAAAAAAATATATTGGTTTATGGCTCCAAAATATCACTTATTAAAGATCATGGTGCGGCATGAATAATCAGAAATAGTTCAGGGTGCGGGATGACACTTTAGCCTATAAACAAAAACAAACAAACGGTTAGAATAAAAACAGTTCGGTTTACAAATAATACAATCATTCATTTTTTTTTTTAAATATAAACCGAGACCAAACCAATTTAATTTGGTTTAAATGTCTACCTATCTAATTTGGAAGAATAATTAATATGTAGGCCATTAAAATACTTCAAATACTACATGCTAAATAGGCTTTATAAGATTTTTTTTAAGGCCTACATATTCTTTAAAAAAAAAACAAATAAATTAATAAACCTAATACTACAACAATAGAACATATTACATAACAACATTAACTAATAATTTCAGCATACAAGTCTTTGTTGACAAAAAACTTCAAACTTTATTATGTTCTGTTCAATTCCATTTCTAAGTTTGCAGATAATCATATTTAGTGATAAAACTGGACAGAACATAAAGGAAGGTGGATGAGCTATCTGAAATCTACAATTTTAATAAGAGTCAATAATGTCAGGTCCTTAATTGGAACAAAAAAAAAATGTCGGTAGTGATTTTAGTACTTTTTAATGATTTTTCTTATTTACTCTCTATTATATTATTTTCTTCCCTCAAATAACTTAAATTCCGATAGTATAAACTTTAGTAATGGAATATTCCGTTAACTATTTATCAAGGTTGCAAAACACGCTAGGCGCCCCCTAGGCGCCTAGGCGCCACTGATTTTTTTTTTTTTTTTTTTTAAATTAAAAATTGTAAAATTTTAATACCTATATATCTAAAATGGTTAAAACTTAAAAGTCTTAAAACTTAAAAGTTAAAACTATTTAAAAGTGTAAATTATATAATGTATAGTAATATAGTATAGTACTAATGTAGTATAGTTAAATAAGTTAATTATTTTTATTCATTTATTCATTTAATCCATATTCCATATTCCTATACTCCTATTACTCTATTAGTCCACAACTCCATAGTCCAAACTTCATAGTTCATACATTCATACATTGAAATATTGAATCATTGATATTTGAATAATTTGATACAAATCATACAATCATACATTCATAGTTTCATACTACACACTTCATAGTTCATACATTCATACTTCAAGTCATCAAATTTAAAATAGTTCATAGACCATATTTCATACATTCATACTTCAAGAGTTCAAGTCATCAAATTTCAAACAAAGACACAAAGTACATGACAATTAAACACTTACAACATATCAAATATTCAAATGCAAGTATTCAACTTTCAAGGTGTTGTTCTTCCACTTGCCCATCTATCACTTGATTTTCATCATCTTCAAACTCAACCACCACTTCTTCTTCTTCTTCACTTTCGGATTCAAAGTTCTCTTCTTCAAGCTCCCTCAATCTAGAACTCCGTCGTGGTCTTAATGCGTCATCACCTTCCTCATTAGTAGCCACTTCATCTTCACCAACAACCTCAACTTCATCCTCAACAATCCAATCTTGTGCGAATGTTGCATCACTACCAAGTAATATTTCAACATTTTGCTCTTATTTCCTTTTGCTCATCAAGTTTGCATTGAATTGCACAAAGACTAGATTGTTTAGGCGATTAGATTCCAACCTATTTCTTTTTTTTTTTGTATGTATCTACAAATATGCAAAACAAATGTCAAATATATCATTCCATCAAAAATAGAATACTAAAATAGAAAAGAAGTAAATAACTAAGTAAAGATTTAAGTATTTAACTAACCCCTTCAAATGTACTCCAATTCCTTTCACAACCCGATGAACTTGAAGTAAGAGATAGAATTTTTATCGCAATTGTTTGCAAGTTTGGAGTTGTCCCACCATAAGTTGACCACCACATTGCTACATCAAAATTGTATAAACAATATTAAGTATAAAAAATCAAAATATATAAAATTTTAATTTAAAATTCAAAACTAGTATGTAACTCATTTACCCGGATCATATCGCTCATTATTTGTCTCACATCCTTTGACCGCAAGTGTCTTCCCAAATACACCATCTTTCCTCTTGTAAATGGGAAATTCATCATTCAATACCTTGTTTTGCATTTCTATATCGTCATGGTAATATGTTTCAAGAAACTCAATACATCCAAGAGAAACATTAACATCCAAATAAGTCGAGGATCCTTAAAATGATAATAAGGATTCAACATGAAAGCCATCAAATGAAGAGGAGAATCTAGCCTATTGCTCATCTTTTCTTCGACTATCTTAATAATAGGCTCATAGTTTCTTACCACTTCATTGAATGCCTTCTTAATGTCCTCTTTGGCTTGCATAAGCTCACCATAAACAAATCCCACTGAAGGTTTCTTATCTTGATCAACAATACGAAGCACCTTCACCAACGGTGCAAAAACATTCAAGCATAATGTAACCCCTTGCCAAAATGAAGTATTCAAGACAGTAGCATAGGAAGCTTTCCATTTAACTGTGTTGGCAAACTTACATTCCTCCCATTCATTGCTTGTAAACATAGCCCTTAATTCAATTTTCTTAGCAAGTAAACTCTGCAAAGTTAGAAATGCAGAAGTAAACCTAGTCACACCTGGCCTAATTATGTCACATTTCTTTGTATAGGTTCTCATCATTGCCAATGTTTTGTGGTGTGCATAGATAAAGATAGTTAAGCTCTTTGCTTGATCAAGAACTTTTTTGAACCGGGGTAAACCTGCAAAGGATTCAAGTATGAAGTATGAACAATTACAAGATTTAAAGTTAAAGA